TACAGGCTAGCAACACATGGCTGTGTGGTTTTTTTTTTTTCTAAATTTGTTTATACTTTTTACATGAGCTTTCTTTAAATTTAAAATAACACTCAACGCGTAAGAGTTCGAATTACTCTTGAAAACTAACATTTTAAAACAGGATTCTACGATTGGATATGATATAACATTTACGAAAAAGCTATAACAATAAGTCGAATTTTAAGATTCGTGTTCTTAAACAAGTTCGTTCTCATAGAGTCAAAAGATACACTGTCTGTTGTTCAAAGTAGGCAAAGTTCCGCACACTTCATGAACCACTTGCATGTGAGCGCGCCCATTCTTTTGCTGCAACTCGAAAAACAAAATTAACTAGAAACAGTGGCACAACTTTCTCTTAGAATCAGGCACATCAATATTTCAAGTACACCTGTTTCAACGGCTTCAGCCCCATTTGCTTTCCAATGCTTAGCAATGTTTTCAGAGAGTGGATCGTCTGGGTTTGGTGCACTCAAAAGCGCTTGAATACTAACTAAACAGAAACAATAGAACAGTGTAAAGTCACAAAATTCGTAATCAGTAATTATCTATGTTGGAAGAATTTCCTAACAAAAATTATAGAGTTCAATCATTTCCAAATTTAGGTAACAAGGCATTCATTTTACTTCAAACATAGATAATTACTGATTATGAACTCTATAATTTGTGCAAGGTAAGTCGTCCAACATAGATAATTACTGATTATGAACTCTAAAAGGTGTTAAACCACCCCATCTAAAAACTTAGGCTATTAGAAACTATTAGAGAGAGAACGTAGTCATATATTTACATTACACGCCTTGAACATGCACAATTTTTGTGTAGAGACAATAGTTCAACCTAGGACTTTGTCTCTTTTGATATCATATTAACCATCTCTTTTAAAAGCTTGCCACTAGAAAGTGAACATAATAATATATTTAAATTGTCTTCAACACAAGGATAAAGCAGGTTGTTGGGTTTTTGATACCCAATAAATTCGAGCGATGATTTAAAACAGTTGACAGATAATTTATCGATACCATAGACTTGGCTCGACCCGAATACTACCGATACTTTTGGACGGCCCAAGATGGAGATGGATTGGTGGTTTTGATTAGTATAAGGTTTATTGGTTAGGCCCATTTACCTATTATTAAGCTGGTCATCCTTGTTGGCCTAATTATGTAACCTAATATACATCCATCTCTCTTGTGTAATCTTTTGTGTGTGTGTGTTGGTGCAAGAAAAGAGTGATGGAGAGGGGGCAACCGAGTGAGGGAGAGAGGCAGCCGTAGGTTGGGAGTTTTCTTGGACTCTACAATTGTTACCCCCTTCTTCTTCCTTCCTATGTGGACTTGCTAATCACCACCACCATGATCCTTTGTGGAAGAAATCTTGGAGCAACCAAGTGGAGGAAGGTTTTGGGTCGAGCTTGAAGTAGTGTGGTGTTCGATTGGCTTTTCTGAGCTCGAAAATTTGATTATTGGAGCCCCAAAATCTTACAAATGGTATCAGAGCTTGGGTGGAAGAGAAATCTATGATTTTGGGTGAAAATGGGGGCTGGAAATCGAGCAGAAAACCAGAAAAAATTATGTCCAGATTTTTCAACTATAAACCGAACTTTCAACTACATTTTCCGGCCAAACCAGTGGTCATTTGAAAAAACCAACCAGCGTGTTCAGCAGGCTGAGGAGTAGCTGGGTAGGTGGCGGGTGGAGGAGGCGCCGGCGTGTGAGGCCCACGCGCCGCACCAGCGACGGCGCGTGGGCCCTTTTCTGGAGATGTGTTCTCCAGACAGTTTTTTCAGGACGTCGAGACGGACCTTGTGGTGTTGTAGGATTTCAGTTTCGAGCAATACGGTGAAATCTGGACGATTTTGCATTTGGACGTTTGGGTGCCGGGTGCAGTTTCGTGTTGACGGAAGCTTTGGGGCGGATTGCGGTAGTCCCAAAGTGGTGAATTTGCAACTCTCAATATTTACGGACCTTCAGACGTGGTCCGCTCGGTATCGTGTTCTTTGCCTTTTATTATTGCAGTTAAAATGATCTTATTACTTTGTGTAATATGTTTGCATGCATAGTTGGTTGATATCTATACCGTACTCTGTTTTGCTCTGTAAGTAGTGTGAGAGGGTGTAGTAGTGAGAAGTTAGAGGGGAAGGCATTTTCTCCTTCATCTTTGTGAGTCTATGTGATTTGTGAGATTATGTGAGGCAGTCTGTGAGGGTTATCTTCGTTATCTGTGTGAGCTTCTTTTGTGAGTGCAGTGAAGTAACCAACTCTTTCTTTTATTCTCTTTGTGAGTGCCACCTTCACCTTTCCCTTTGTGGGATAAATCTTTTGTGGATTTGTAAGAACATTGGTGTTGGAGTAACTTTGTGATGCGTGGGTCAATTTAAATTTGAGCCCTAACCTTTGTGGTCATCGAAAGGTGTTGATTTGCCATAGTGGATTTGGGATGCATTAGCAGTGTGTGTGTATATCTTTTGGTAAGGNGTGGTGATAGAGGATTGTCCTGAGAACTTAGAATCTATAGAGATTTATCAGTTAGACATGAGTTGAGTGATTAATCTAGTGAGTATGGTGGGCGATGAGGTGGGATGTGTTCTCGAGGTGCGAGCAACACGGAATGGGATAAGATAAGTGTGGTGAGATCTTCGTGATGTCATTTATGCATTTGTTTCGTATGTGTTTGCCTGTTGATTGATTTGGTGTTAATCTGTTGTTCTGAGTGAACATGGTTGAAAAGATCCGTGTTATTCTATATATATGATATCTCCGTCGCATGTTTATTTTCTCTTGATTGATTGCTGTGATTATCTGTTTCTACTTGTGTGTTTTTGATCTTAGCCCTGGTGAGTATGGTATATGTTTCAAGTTCGAAACACGAGGTAAGGTCTGTGATACCAATTTTATTGGTTACCTTGATTGTACAAGTATAAACTGTGTGTTTTGGTTGTTTGCGGATTTATTGGGAATCAAGGTGGAGATTTGTTGGGTTTTTGATACCCAATAAATCCGGGCGATGATTTAAAACAGTCGACGAATAATTTATCGACACCATAGACTTGGCTCGACCAGAATACTACCGATACTTTTGGAAGGCCCCAGATGGAGATGGATTGGTGGGTTTGATTAGTGTAGGGTTTATTGGTTTAGAGAAAAATTCATGGATCAGATATTAACTATAACAAAATCAATATTCAGGCCTTAAGTTTCAAAGTTGCAAAAATCAGGTATTTAGGAATTAGTTAAATATTAATTGTAATATATTAACAAATCCAGCTCCACCATCCTACCGATCCAGGAATATTCTGTTACATTATATTCCATGAATTACACTTGCAATGAAGACTCCCTAAAATACAATTTCAGCTTCTGTTCAATGGACTCCCTCCCCTCACGACATTTAACGACGGTACAATCGGGCTTCCAGGTCACAATTCGAAGGTGTTAATCTCGGGTCACAAATTCAACTTCTGGCCAGTGGAATTCCTTTAGGCTGATAATTAACGACAGTAAATTCAACATTTATGTTGTGGTAGAATGAATTTTCACACCTACAGGAGGAGTTTATATCAGGTCACAGATGAGACATGACAGTGGTCACAACCACAAATTATATAATACACTCAAGTCACATACGCTTATAATCATAAAACATGTGACAAAATTAGGTCACATACCCATTATAATCTCAATGACATATGGGAAGTAGGTCACAGATCCATTACACTATTTGTGAATTTCAATTCCAAAAAACACTTCCAAAATATAAACCCCCAACATGCATCAGAAGTTTATATCAGGTCACAGATGCAACATGACAGCGGTCACAGCCACAAATTACATAATACACTCAGGTCACATACACGTATAATCATATAACATGTGACAAAATTAGGTCACAGACCCATTATAATCTCAATGACATGTGGGAAGTAAGTCGCAAATCCATCACTCTCTGTGAATTTCAATTCCAAAAAATATTTCCAAAATATAAACCCCCAACTTGCAGCAGAAGTTTATATCAGGTCACAGATGCAACATGATAGCGGTCACAGCCACAAATTACATAATACACTCAGTTCACATTCCGTCTTCTTCCCCTTCTTTTTATCATTTGTTTTCGCCATTGCTAATCGCTACCTACTAGAGATACTCACACTGTAGACAAAATGGAATGCACTGGATTTTGGTTGGAGCTTGGAGATTTATCACGGTTGATTTTGGAAACGTGGTGGAGATTGGACGCGAATAAGGTGGAGAGGAAATAGTACTTGAGAGAAAATAGAGCTTGAATAAAAATGGAAGTTGGGATAAAAACCAATCTGAAACCCATAATTAACGGGATACGCACGTCAATTAATTAAAAGATTTATTATTTACTTAAAATGATAAAAACCTGAAAATTGAATAAAGAACTTCCTAACCTGATTTATAAAAATGGATCTTTAAACACTTGTTTTTATGTAATTTTCCCATTGGTCAGGCCCATTTACCCATTATTAAGTTAGCCCATCCTTTTTGGCCCAATTATGTAACCTAATACATCCATCTCTCTTCTGTAATCTTGTGTGTGTGTGTGTTGGTGCAAGAAAAGAGTGACAGAGAGGGGGCAGCCGAGTGAGGGAGAGAGGCAACCGTAGGTTGGGAGTTTTCTTCGTGGGACTCTACCATTGTTACCCTCTTCTTCTTTCTTCCTATGTGGACTTGCTAACCACCACCACCATGATTCTTTGTGGATGAAATCTTGGAGCAACCAAGTGGATGAAGGTTTTGGGTCGAGCTTGAAATAGTGTGGTGTTCGATTGATTTTTCTGAGCCTGAAAATTTGGTTATTGGAGCTCCAAAATCTTATATGGGTTAATCTTCCACTTAATAGAATCATTTTCGGGATTATGGAGCAAGCATTAGAAATCCAATCATGCAGGTATTGTCAGGACTAGACAGTGAAATGAAACGTACATAGACAAGGTGTTTGCTAAGAATTACTAGGCCAACAAATCATAGAATTTAAGTATAACAATGACAGAAATTGAGGTATAACAACAAATCATAGGCTAACAAGGATTCACTTCAACCTTGAGAGAAAGTGACGCAAAATTTCACCCTCGAGGAATAGCATAGAAGGATATTTCAGTGAATGTCGTTAAAAAGGAACAGTATTTTAGGATGTCTAAATCAGTGTCTGGATAGAAGCAGATCGGCTGATCGCCATATACTTGTCTAGGAAAGAGAGGCGTTTTAGGAACTTTCAAATCAACAGAAAAATTTATGAATAAAATATGAGAAAAATCAAAACAAATACATCCCCACACTTGAGAACAGACCTTGAAGAGCATAAACATAAGAAAATGATTCTTATAAACATGTATATTATGGAAACATATAATGCCAGCTCAAGTTACCTTCATAAGGAGACTCTGTTGGACCAAGAATCATTACGTTGAAATACCGCATATTCTCTTCGGATGGAGATGCACTTATTCCTGGAGCTGCGTACAGTTCTACATAATGTAACGCATATACTAATGTTTGTATATTATTAAGTTCAGACGTTAAATTTACCTACAGATTACAGACACACACACATGTGCACACGTGTATGAATATTACAGGGTATACCTGGTTCGCTGAGAAGACGTTGAGTCTCCTATAAGATCACAAAAAAACAAAAACCCATTAAAAAGCAAAAGAAATTACAGTAAACAGCATTAAAAAAAAAGGTCAAATTAAATCATAAACAAAACAATAGAACCCCAGCTGTTGGCCATATAGTTTAATTGAATTTGCACAGGTTTTCCTTCAACCAAGCTTAGAAATGTTTGTATTGCATGGTTTGTTGTACAACCAAAATTCTCTAGTCGATGGCTCAACCGACGCAATTGTAATTTAGCTATCAAATCTCGACTTTTGACTATGCAAGAAACATGTAGGTTGAGCACTACTCGAAAATAATTTATCTAAACATGGTAATTCTAAATGATCATGGATGTGAGAAACTACAACAATTATATACGACCTTAAAATATACAAAAAGGGGTGTCCCTTGCAACGGCTACAACAAAGGCATGACTTCAACACCCCCAAATTCTACATTTTTTATAAATATTATATAATATGGAATAAACTTAAGCACAATTGAAGATCTCATTGAAATTTAAAAACTCAATATGATTGTTCTAATAATTATCATAATTAGGTATAAATTAAAAGTAACTTTTAATGAAACCCAAACATATGCGCTTAGTTTGTGAAAATAAGTATACTTCATATATAATTTAATATTAATTATTAGAAGAGGAGAAGAGAAGAGAGATATTGCAACTCCACCATACTATTGCACAACAAACTTGTCATATTACAATATTAGGTTGGGGTGGGATAGACACAATGCAGGAGAAGCCACCACTTATTCATAATATGATGCTCTTCCTATTCAATGGCAGGCAGAAGCTTTAATGTTCTTAAATTCAAAGATCCAAATCCTCTGGGGCGAGACCCAATTCATCAAGAACTTCTTTGCAGCCGGGGACCGAGTCTTTGGTCATGAACCCTAGTGCGTTTGCATAACGTATTGTGTTGTGCATTCCACTGTTTTCAGTGCATACAATTCTTGCTGTTTCTAGGCCGGCCATTGGCACATTGCACTCAGCTTCGGGACTCTCAGTTAGTCTCACCTCGCAGATGCTGTCCCCATGATCTCCTTTTACGTTCAACTTGTAGTGTCCATTGCTATCTGTTACACCCTCGACCGAGTATGTCACATTCCTAGTTATTGGGTCACTGCATTCCAACTTCAAGGTCGCACCTAAATAAAATATACATAGATGTGAGTTAGATGTTTGTTTTGTGCTGAATAGCATAGATAGTTGATATCTAGAATAATTACCTGCAATTTTGTGGCTGAGTTTGGTCTCAAACTTGACGCGGCATGGATCACAGTACACATCGCCTTCGACATTGAATACTTCTGGTGCATGGCAGTGGGCAACGGTGGCAAAGGCTAAGATGCATAAAGCAGAGACGAGAGAAACAGCCTTTGCCATTTTTTTTTGTTTTTTTTCCTTCTCTTGCTGTGTGTGAAAAAATGGAATGCATTGAAGGGATTTTTATAGAGGGAGGGATTAGAGAGAGAGAGGGCAGAGCAAATATTTCTTAAATGGTTTACGGAGTCTCCCTAATTTTAGAGAGATGAACTCGGTTCTTTATTTACCTTCACTCACGGGTAGAAATCATTTTGAGCCAAGAAAAATCGAGTGGGGATTTTTTTTTTTTTTTTTTTCTATGAAGATTTCTTGTAGAAAATAAAATAAATCATCCATACTAATAAAATTACGCATGCATTTATTGATGTCAATGGGCCGAGCCGGCCTTTAAGCCACGAGCTCACGAGCCGAGCCGCTCGTGGCTCGTTTGCTCGTGCTCGGCCCACGAGC